CTTTGTGTGCGCCCCTCTTCCCCCCCCCCCGCCTCCCCCCATCCCCGGGCGGTTGGAGCCGGTTCACCCCCAACTCCCCCCGATCCCTCCGCCCACGGCACATAACGGACCGCGGCCTCCTCCTCCCACCCCCCGCCCGGCTCTCACCTTCCCCGCTCCGCGCGGTCCCTCAGCCCCGGGAGCGCAGCGCAGGTGGCATCGGGCGGCGGGCGGAGGGCCGGGGGGGGGCGGGAGGAGGAGGAGCCGCCGCGGGGGGATACACGCGGAGCCGCAGCACTCTACACACACACACACACACACACACACATACACACAAAAAGGGGACCGGGCGGCGGAGGGAGACGGTGACGTCACTTCCTGCCGGGCCGCGATGCGCCGCGCGGATTGGTGGGCGTTGTGGTGACGTCACTCGGAGGGCGGGGCTTCCGCCACCGCCTCCTCAGGGGAGGTGGAGCGGCGCGAGGGATGCGGGGCGGGCTGCGCTCATCCGCGGAGACCCCATGGCCACCCCCACGGCCATCCCCGTCGCCACCCCATCGCCGCCCCAACGCATCCCTGTCCTCAGCCCCAGCCCGTCACCCCGTCCCCGCTGTCCCCAGATGCCACATCTCCGTGCGAAGTGGAAAAGTGGTGGAATCGCCGTCCCCGCAGGTATCCCAGAACCACGGAGATGTGACACGTGGGGCCGTGGTTGGTGGGGACGGGCTGGGGCCGGGCGCGGTGATGACAGAGGTCTTTTCCAACCTCAGTGATTCTGTATTCTGTAGTTACTGGCTTTGGGTTGGTGGCATGTTGAGTGCCCGATGCCACCATTGTGGTTATTGATTTGCAGGGAGTTCACGATGTCTCACCACCAGCAGACGACTCTGTTTTGGTGCTTGGCAGTGCTGTCCGGAGGCAGGCCTCCAGTTTTGACCTTCAGGTTTTCAGGAGAGGTTGAGAAGAGCTGCTGAAACCCCTCATCCATTAGAAGAGATGTTGCGCAGCCAACAGCGCAGGGCTTGAGTTCTACGGTGTGGCCAATGATGCAGTTCTGGTGTCTCCAAGTGACCAGGAGGTACATCTGGTGATGGAGGAGGCGTCTGGAAGATGTGGGAGATCTTATTAATGAAGCAAAGAAACAAATCATTTCATCTCCTTTCTGTGAAACTCATAATTACATCAAAAGTGGACACAAATGTCACTTCTCATGGACAGCTTCAAGATGAATGCTTTGGATTGAATGGCCATCAGCGTCTCCACCGTTTCCAGAGCACCATTGCTGAGGTGGATGCAGCAGGAGAGTGCCTTCAGGATCTGTCCCCATAGAGTCAGTGGGGTTGGAAAGACCTCTAAGATCACCAAGTCCAACCCTAAGCCCAACCCCCACCACCGTGCCCACCCCCCACGTCCCTCAGTGCCACCACATCCACCTTCCTCTGGAGCACCTCCAGGACAGTGACTGCACTACCCGTGCTGAGCACTGTGCCCCGCAGCCTGAACTCAATGTTGTGTCTGAAAGCAACCCAAACATAACCAAAGCAACCACAGAAACGCTCACAGTTGTGCATTTCCTTCGCTACGTGTCTGGATCGGTGCCACCCGAGTGCCCCGCGCCGTCGAGCCAACAGATCTCCCTGGGATTCTCCCTACGTTTCTCCCACGGATAATTTCAAATGATTCATGTCTTTAATAATAAACTTCGTATTGTGAATAATTCAGTTGTGATGGGCCACGCAGCTTTTAACTGCCTACGGTGCAGACTGAATACTGAAGGTAATAAGGTGAAAACTGATAATGCTTGTTTTTATTAACAGCCAGCATATTTTTTATAGAATCGTAGAATAGATTGGAGGGGACCATGAAGATCACCCAGTTCCAACCAACCAACATCATTTTTAAGACCCGCAGGTGTGCACTTCAGAACTGATAACATTTACATCTCCCACATCCTTTGAAATGTCGTTTCCTTCATTCTCGAAACGTGATTTTGGTGAGTCGGGTGCTTCCCAAATGGACCCCCGTGGTGCGATGCTCCAACGTGATTTATGACGCCGCACTTCGTTAAACAAGCACATTAATTTCCTTCTGATGGCCTTCCCGAGCTCCCCGTCATTCTCCCTCATTTACACAGCACGCCGTGTGTGCATGTCACTGTCTGTCCCCTATAAATCATGTGTACAACGCAAAGGGTTGCGTTTCCTTCCAATAATAATAACCAACATTTTCACTGGCGATGCGTTTGTGTGCCTGGTGGTGCCTCTGCCTCAGAGCAGCATTATTTGATTACTGAGCATTAATAAAAGCACGTCTCATAGTCAGGAAGCAGCAGTGAATAAAAAAATGATTTTTCTACTGCAGTGTCACTCAGGCTGGCAGTGTTATTGGTGGGAAAAATTGAGAGCTTGTCATTGGAATTCAGATGTCTGAAAGCAAAGATCTTCCGATGAAGTTCCATATTATTGATGACTGATGATTGTATTTACCACCAAAAATATTCCCTCTGCCAATCCCCAACTTGATTTCTTCTCTCCTTCCATGCTGATGTCGTGCATCCTTATCCTGAAGCAAGGAAACAAGCTCTCTACAATGCTCTGGCTACCTGGGCTGCTTCTCTCCAAGGTAATTTCAGGCACCAAGGAAATGTAGAACAATTTTCCAGGGATTTCACACGTTCTTTGTTCCAACAGTTGGCTGTGATTGACTCTTTTCTGTCTTCTGGAACCCAGTTTAACCTCTATGATTTCCCTAAAGATAACTTTTGGTTTCCCCGTTGACTCCAGAGTTGTTGCGGATGAGTACCTTAAGTTCATGGGAACAGCATTCGAATATTTTTCATTTTAGGGCACTCGGCATCCAACATTTGCACCAAATTTGCAGTGCAGACAACTAAACTGCATTGTCTTAAAGGAGTTTTTACTGTTTTAGAACAGGGCATTCATATTTACTAATTGCTTTTGGTCAGTGGGATGACAATTTTTGGTCTTTCAAGTTGTCAGTCATCATATTAAGACCAACTATGCCACCTAATGCAGTGGGTGTTGCATTGCTAACAGCAGTGTTTAAGAAACAATACAACATGCATGTACAGCAATTAAAAAAATCCCCAAAACAAACAAGGAACTCTGAGTGCTGCTCACTTTGACAACAGCATTCATGTTTCTGTTCTTCCATTCTGGTTTTGGAGAGGGAGGTGCAAGTGTGTTGTTTGTGTTAAAGTTATGTGACTCAAAACTATGAGTGCAATGCAGAGGTCCTGACCCCACTCTTGAAGAGCTTTCGTGCTTTGTATGATTGTAATGGGACATATTATGCAAACAAAACACATAACTTTTGATTGCTTCATTCTTAAGCACAGTGCTGAGTTGAAAAAGTCATCGATAATAAGGCAGACAGAAAGGCTGAGCATTCCATTCCATTCCATTCCATTCCATTGGATTCTCACCCATTCTGCCTCTCCATTCCTTGAGTACCAATTCCTCTTCAGCTAGCATGTCATGGCATCTCCTGAGAACAACATCTGAAGACTATAAAATAAGAATTTAGTAATGACTTCATTTTGTGAAATAAATTGATCCATAGACTCACATTTCTTCACAATGGCGTGCAGTTCAAATCCTCAACACCAGCCAGGGACATTGGGATAAATGTATTTGGGAGTGATGTCAGATGAGGATGTGTTTGAGATGAACCTGGATGGGATAAGATCATAGAGTAGTAGAATCATTGGAGCTGGAAGGGGCCCTTAAAGGCTGTCTGGTCTGACCTCCCCACAATGAACAAGGACAAGGTCCCTTCACCCCAACCCATTTCTATGGTCTTATGGTTCTGAGGATGATCTGTAAGGACTCTTTCAACCCAATCACCCCGTGGTTCTGTGGATGACCATTAAGGTCATTGGATCACAGTCATTTGAGTTAGAAGAGACCCTTAAAGGCCATCTCATCCGATCCCACTGCAATGAATGGGGACACCCATAGCTCCATTGGGAGCTGAGAGCCCCCCACAGCCTGATGGTACAGCCATACAGCTCCAGGAACTACTGCCCACATATCCCTGCAGGACCTGTGCCAGTGCCTCACCACCCTTCTCGTCAAAACTTTCTTCCTTACATCCGGTCTAAGTCACCTTTTTTTCATTTGAAACCATTTCTCCCTGTCCTATCACACAGACCCTGGTAACACACATGGTTTTCTCCTTGGCACTGTTTTAGGGAAAGAACAGTTAGTTTTCTCTGGGAAAAAAAAAAAAAAAGTACAGACCTTAAAAATATAACAAAACACACACAAATAAATGGGGAAAACAAGACTACTCCTCAATAGGGACAATTAAGCAGAATCCCAGCTGGATTAAAGAGCGAAATCCAGATTTTCATGTCAGTTTTGAAAGCAACTGCTGTAGAAGTGACTTGGTGAGGTTCCAGTGGACACGTCCCTCCCCCCTCCCCTTGGAGCCACTTTGTTTACAGGGCTGAAGTGCTGAAAACACAGCAGCTGCCAAAGGGACGAAGATATTCAACACAACAACTTCCTTCTCTGCTGCTGGAAAGCGTTCAGGCTCAGCTCAGGGTCACAACATCCTGGGCTTTTCCATTGGGACACAACTTGGAGCAGAAGGAGGTGAGCAGAGCAGAGGGGGAGGTGGGTTCACTGCTTCCAAACCATTGGGTTTCTCAGTGCATTCGATCCTCCCCCCGGGCAGCTCTCTGCCCTCCCCTTTGCTCTGTGTTTATTCCCTTCTGCTTTACTCCATTCCAGGCGCTGTGCTTCCTGCTGTGCACC